TTTCTTTAGCGGCTTGCCGCTCGTGCCAGCAGGACGCCAATTAGACACCGGCACCCCCTTCCTGGATATGTACTTCTCTGCTCCTACAATCCCATTATTTTTTAGCTTGTTGGATCAAGGCCTCATCTACACCTTAATTAAGGGAAAAGACTTCCTCATATTCACAGCACCTACTAAATCCAATCATATCACTTCTTTCTTCATTTGGGCTTTCAAAGCAGGACAGCTCAGGCGCACACACACACACACACACACACACCACACCCCACACACACACACACACACACACACACAACACACACAAACACAATCCCCACTTCTTCACTCTTGCCTTTATGACCATTCTCCTTTCCACCTCCTATCACTGTTTTTTCCCCCTGTTTCTCTTGTCTGAATTTTGAGAGGAGGAAAGAGAGCAGGGTCGCTGTCCTCTATCTTCACTCACCCACTCTGACAGGCCTTGAACACACACACTCAAGCACACACAGAGACACACACAAAGCTGTCACCCCAGCAACCAAAGCAGCCCCCGCCTCATCTTCCCCGTGCTCGGTGACACCCCACATAGACACACACACACACCTATGTCAAACTTAGCCCAACCCCTCTTGCACCCTGTGCCCCACTGCCAGTTGCCCATGTGAGGTTTTTAATAAGGTGGATGCAAGAGTTGGTCTTGCTCTCTTCTGGGTGACGCGGATTGGAAGGGGTTCTTCATACATTTACCAAACTATTTGGGGTTTTTTTTGTTCCCCCCTTCGTTTCCTTTCTGAAACTGCAAATACATCTACATTATCTTAGACAGGAGCCATGAAGTGGACCTGGGTGCTTGTGGCAGTCTTGCTGTCCTTTGGGGGCCTATCATTGGGCAAGGAGAGCTTGGACTACCCTGAATATGATGGAAAGGACCGTGTCCACGACCTCAACGCCAAGAACTATAAGTCTGTGATGAAGAAGTACGATGTTATGGTGGTGTACTACCATGACCATCCCGGATCCAGCCGCGTCGCCCAGAGACAGTTTGAGATTGAGGAGATGGCCCTTGAGGTGGGTTGAGATGGGAACTATGGGTAGAATGAGGAGGATAGCATACTGATAAGGAAGCAGTATGACTAGTGCTGGACTAATGCAAAGCACACAGAATTACACAGTCTTGAAGTCAATGTTGCTGTAAAGAGTTTGGTTGGACATTCTAGTGGAGTTTGTGTTTTGATCTGGTTGAATTTAATCTGGTGGCAGAGATTACAAAGGAATTGAAGTGTGACAGTAAGCTGCTGGTTAAGGAACTTAAATTTGAAATATAAGCTTAAGATAAAAATTAACAATATGAAAAGATTCTTATATATAGTAACAGTGTAAATGTAATTAGAAGGAAAGGAAAGAGAATATTTGGAATCAGAGACATATATAGAGAGATTTTTAAGGTTTGAAGTGTGAAATTAAGCACAGACAGAGTTATCATGGGAAAGTGATGCTACAAAGTAAATAACTTTGCTGGATTCAAATATGCTGATAAGTGAAGTCCCAAAAATGTGTGGCAAGCTTGCGGCGTGTCATCAGTGTCGTTCACCCGAGGCAAAGAGCTGAGCTGTGAGGACCCAAGATATCATTCATTCTGGCAAAGACTGAACTTGTGTGCATTCTGTGTGTGTGTGTGTGTGTGTGTGTGGGAACTGATGCACTCAACACACCTATCAGTAGGCCTATGACACCTCAGCCCCCCTGTCAGCCTGGATACTCAGCAGTTTCATCACATTCCTCGCAGAGAGGCATTACATCACCATTCAGTACAAAGCTTTCAGGACCTCGGTTGGGTCTCAGATTACTTAAGAAAACACAGAGTATCAAATGTCATATACTCCTACGCCCCATTTCCCAAGAATTGTTGTTTTTGCATTTCTTGTCAAATACAAGTTGATTCCACGTTCACAATTACCCAGAAATGTAACAGCTCTTTTAAATTGGACCAGAAACAGAGGGCAGAATGAAAGTTTGTCATCACACACAATATAGACCTAACTGCTTCTCCAAAAGCATTTTAGACAATCTTGATATCATTTTGAAGCAATACTGGACTAATATCTGCTTTGAAAGTTGGAGCTGTGTAAAAAAGTGATAGGGGTGCTGACTGATTTATGGAATATATACACTGGATCAAGTGGCAACCCCCTTTGATGGCATTTGGCATGGCTACTACACAGTGTACAGTACAGGCAGCTACCTTATACACTTGATGCATTATTACAAGTTCAGGAGAGCAGCAAGTATTGGCACAAAATACAGTCTTGGCAATTACAAACAGATTCAAAAGCAGATTTGTTATGGTCCCTACAAAACATTCATGCTCTCTCTCTCGGACAGCACTGACCATACCTTCACTTTAATGTGCAAATAAAGAAGATAACAGTAAAAGATAATTCTAGACAGGAAAACATTAATAACCAAAACAGAGAGCGAGAAAGAGAGACATATCACATAATGTCAGTGGCCTCTGGTGTCTCTGTATGGGAGCATTAGGGTTCGGTCTCGGGGCTGGAGGCCAGCACTGGAGGTTCTGGCTCCAGTAGTGCCGGCTCAGCTCTGCACTGTGACTGACACTTGCAGTACTGTACTTGTCAGCGGATCCCAAAGTACTGAGCATCACTGCCACCTCGCCAAAATAGTCCCTGGGCTGGTGTGGCTTCTGGTGCTATATTCATCCCAAGCTGCTTTTGTGGCGGGGTGAGAGCCCTAAAGGCTTGTGTTTCTCCTTATGAATGTATTATGATTTACATTTGATGAGGTTTTATTAATAGTAACACACAACGCCAGAGGGCTCAAAATTTCATAGGTCAAGGCTCTCCAGGGTTTAATGAAAGTTAAATTAAATATGACATGAGACTGAGGAAGTCATATTGAAGTGTTTTCTCCCTTGATCAAAGAGACTATTGATGTAGCTGTGACTGGAGTCTGTATGTTGTTTAGGAATGTGCCTTAGACCTAGCGCTTAATAATTTTGCCATGTTTCCCTTCAGATTAGAGGCCCTGCCTTCTACAGTCTAAATGCATGAAAAAACCATAGCTCATAGATAATAATAATCTAATTATCACCACAGGAAATGTCATTTTATCATATGTTGTGTTTTTGCCATATATATGTTTTTTTTTAAATGAAAAAGTGTGGAGTTAAAGTGTATTTTGCATGTTAAGTAGCTGGAAAACATGCAGATATCAAGTTATGAAATCCCATCCCAGATACTGAGGCTGTTGGTTTAACTTTACATGTAGTTGGAGAGGTTCAGTTTCTCTGTAGAAATTCAACCGCATTACTGCAGATACACATTCTGAACACCAAGGTCCAAGTACAACTTTGCATGTTTTATATTTGGACGACAAGCAGATATATATATATATAAAGCCATAAAATAATTTTCATATTGCATCTATCACAAAAGAAACAGCTGGATAAAAGATGCCAGAGATAAATCAAATGTATTCATTTTATATATTTAAATCAAGATAAACAGCATCAAATGCATCCATGTAAATACACACTTGCAGATTTATAATTTTGTTTTATTAAAGTGGTTGTAATAAAAATGGAAAGGAAATAGAAAATTAGGTAACACCTGTGCTTTCAGGTCTGTTTATTATAATTTATCCTCAAATGCATCCTTCTTCAGTTGCTTGGATAGTATCAAGCCTTACTCACCTCAATCACTTGCCCTTTAAAAGTTTATTTTAGCCTACTTAAATGCCAAAAGGTTGGGCTCTGCAGCAAAATATAGTGCAATGAAAAAAGCAAAAGTCACAATAAACCAAAATAGTGTACCTGATGACTTAATTTGCTTTTATAAAAGTATATTATTATAACTGTATTATAATCTTTACAATTTATATAATTTAAAAGATATAATGTTTTTATATTTTCTAACTCACCTGCTGTTAAGCTACAAACTCTAAACTGCTTCACTGTGCCCCACCCATCTGCAACGGCAATCAAATTAAATTAATCGCCAAGAATTATGTGCACAACAACCTGCTGGACAGGCTGGTTAGTCAAACTATTTATGCCAGTAAAGGCAGCTGCTCAAGATCTCTGATACCAGTAGGCACCCATGTGTGTGCGAGTGTGTGTGTGT